GGCTGCCTGGTGTCCATTCGGGGTCGGCAGCATTGGCGGCAGCCATTAAATATAAAAGTCTAGAAGCCTATATCATTTCGTTTTGTATTATCTTACATACCGTTTAATACTGTTTTTTATCAGAGGATCCAACATTGCTTCATTCGGGAATCGGTATTAAGGACCACAACTGGCAGCTACTAGCCGCTAGCATTTCAAGAGAGAGCTGAAGTCTGCGAGACCGGGAACATCAGCCCCAGCCTACTCATCTTAGAGAAGCAGAGAGTGCACGGATCAAGAGCACATGCCGCACACTTCGAGAGGAACCATACCACCACAATCCTCCTCGCGATCACCGGAACTGCCCTCGGCCTCATCCAAAAGCATGTAGCCAAGGGCCACCGCCACCGATCGATTTCCGCCAACGAAGCAGTGGACAAGGACCTGCCACATCTAGACATACCTACAGACAGCTTCAGGTCGACAGACATAACTCCCAGGCTGCTGCAGTTCGTTCGCCAATCCGAATCGTACAAGTAGCATGGTAGACGTTGCAGCTCCGAGCCAAAAGCTGGGCTCACGAACTCCTTCGCTCTCTCACACACACGCACACACTTGAACAAATCAGACATCCCTTTTGGCTAGAAGAGAACAAGACTGCATTCAGAGCGCTGCCGGCCCGGCCGTGTCTTCGGAAGACAAGGCTGCAGCCAGCCAAGGGCGAGCGGCTGTCAGGGCCACCAGGAGGTCCTGTTGGGTTCCGGCTGCTTCCAAATCTGGCGAATCGGGCCCTGCAGGCATCGACGTGGCTTGGGGCATGCATTGCGCGCGCTCCTCAATTCGTCGTTCCTTCCACTCTCTTTCTCTACCCACGAGACCCCACAATATGGCTGGAGCCCGGGCTGGAGCCAAGCACGTATCCTTGAACAAGTGAACAAGCATCACCAGAACCCCCAATATGAACCGTTTGTACCTCTGAGAGGTCGTCGTGCATCGGCACATGGTGCCAGCGGATGCCTCGACTGCTCAACCCTCGCCTCTCTGTCATCGTATGTCACGCAACGTGGTGCCCCAACAGTGTTCCTGTTGCAGATCAGTGGCCGATCTTGCTGTACATCTCCTGCGTGCCCCACCACGCTTCCCGCAAACTCCCGGCAGTGAACACACGTGATGATCCCTCGAGGCCCGTAACGTAAGGCCTTCAAGGCCAAGCCGGGCATCACACGAATCCTCTGCGGCTTCGGACCCGTTCTCAAAACACCTCCATTGCCGAAACCTCTGAGCAGGAACCCTGCCCTGTGCTCTCAACAGCGACACCTCGAGACAGTTCCCCGAGAGACTCAAAAAAGACTTGCCCCAAACCTTACCCCAATCGGGGTCACAGAGTTTGTCTTTGTGAGCTGTGCCCTGATTACGCACGTACCGTGTCATTCCAGGAACTTGCACATGGCCGCAAGGCCGCAGAACACAGGAAGTCTTGGAGAGCCCCCGCCTGGCAGCGCCTCATCGGCGGTTCTTCTGTGCAGTTAAGAACGGCCGTGATGCCGCTGGACAACAGAAGCTCTTCGTTGCCTCCATGTGGATAGCACCGCCGGTACTTAGAAGACAGTGTTGGTTCGGATGACCTTTAGTGTAGCACGAGCTCGCCTACCATCCCTACCGTAAGACGTTCCCGTCGTGATGGTATATAACTTTTTGCTCTTGCGGCGCAAGTCGCTGATGCTGCCTTGAGCGTTACAGTACCTTCTGCTCTGGCGTTTGCTTCGCATGATGACCTGGAGGCGCCTGCAACTCCTAGCTCTGGGACTCTAGGTGGGCTGGCTGAGGCTGATACAAAGGTTCCTGCCTGCATCTTCCTCGCTGCCTATGAGCAAATGACCCGGTCCACTTCGTGGCACCTGGTCAGGGCCGAAGGGTGAGAGAAAAGCTCCAGAGCGTCGGACCATCACGACCAGATGCTACGAATGATCAATGCCAACGCCCACAGCACAGGCAGGAGCCGAGAAGACTTCATCTTCTCCACATACCCAATGCTCTAGGCCCTAGGCTTCCGAATTCCGATCGCCGCAGGAGCAAAGCTCACACCAACTTGAGAGGTCCTCGGTCCCCTGCCCCTGCCTTCGCAGGGCGGCGCAACAGCTCGCCGTAGTCATCGAGCAGCTCGGCTCCCAGGTTTCTCGCATGCTGGCGAGCGGTTGCTTTCGAAGGGCCGGGCACTGGATGACCGTAATTTGACTGTCAGGTTGGCTTAAGAAGATCTCAGCAAGAGCACTGCATACGCAAAAGGTGCGCACCACACTTCGCGAAGAGTTGCCATAAGCTCAATCAAAGTACTAGTAGCAGGAAAAGAATAGTAGCAGTCATCGTCTGTCATCGTGGACATCGTGCCGTTGTGCTTCTGACAGCTTCATCTACATCTCATATTGGGGTTCAGTTTCTGAAAATCAGGATGTGGTATCCTCAGTTCAGCCCCTGCAAACAATGGCAAAGGTCCTGGCAGCCGAACGGATTATGGCTTCCATGGCAGCCAAAGCCTCCCAGCCGACCCGACGCTCAGAAACCGCACGACATACTGCGCAGAGGTCACAAGGAAGGCTCGTACACGGTTAAACACGCAAAGCACGGTCGCTCGGGTCACCCCGACAGTTCTG